CAAACGAAATTTTTTTGTTTTGAATAATTAAAATAATAGTATACAGGTTAATGTGGAATGGATTATCATTATTTTGAAGTGAATTATTTTTAAAAATATCTTTTAATTTCCAATATGGTAAATAAACAAAAGCTCTTTGGGCTTCTCAATGATTTTTAAGATTGTAAAGGACTCTTGAGATCAAAAAGGTGTGAGTACTGCTGCATTACTTATAGCAGATTATATATCCCTCCCTAAACATGTTCAACTTTAAAACTTCCATCCTTTTGCATGGTGCTGTGTTCTCCACCACTAGCCTAGTCCCAGCCAGGTCTTAAGGACCTCAGCTGTATCCTGGAAAAACAAGATAAAAAAAATAGAGAATCTGAAGTCATGCAAGATAAAATACGTCTCAGTGTTTCCTCATCTGTAAAATACAGGTTATATCTACTTCAAAAATAATTGGAATGTTAAGTAAGACAGTTTAAAACATCTGGCACAGTGTTTTGCATATAGTAGAAATGAAAACTGTCAATTTCCTTTCTACTTAAAATAATTTACAAAATCACCAACATTTTGTAATAAAATAAAAACAATGTAATAATCATTTAACCATAACGAAGCAAGCAAACTGGTTCTGAGCAGTTCTGTCAGGATTCCTATTTGTAGAAAACAGTTTTATAGACTAAATCCCTTGAAATGCATAAATTCTATGACAGTTCTGTGGTTACCTTTAACTGATAATTAAATTCAAATTAATTTAAAATATTTTATTTTAAATAGCATCTTAATATAGAATGATGTTATTATACCCCAGTTTAGCCTTAGAAAAGTGTCCATAAATCTTCTCTTCCCAATGTTTCACAAAATTAAGTACTATAATTCACACCTCTGCTGTATCGGGTTTTTTTTAAATACTCCATTGAGTCCACTCATTAAATTTTCGTTTTCACTTTTATAAACACAGAGAAAACTGGTTATTAAGCTAAAATGGCCATATTTACTTATAGCTTAAGTGTCATCTTTTATGGTTTTTTTATATAAGTGTCTAATGTACATTAGACAACCTTTACCCTATTCAGAATAAATCTACCTGTTTTACATTAGACATGATAAAGCTTTAAAAAGCAAAAGAAAATAACAGAAAACAAAAATCCAGAAACCTCTTCCCTTTTATCTCTAGTTATCTGTAACTAAACATATACTGAACAATTAGCTAGCTATAGGACACACAGTCCTTATTCACACACTAATCTGTTAGATGGTGACCCTAAATATCAGTCCCATACTTCAGCTTTGTAAAGGAGGTGCACTCTTCTTTTAAAGATGAGAGAACTCAAGTCTTTCATTTTCTGTTAAGTGGCCTGCCCAAGATCAGATAGCTGGTCAATGGCAGAAATGGGAGTAAAACCCATGTCTGTCAAACAATAATGTATACCATCCTTCCTTACACGTTTGCCTGTCATGATCACTGCCTGCCTCCTTGGAAAGAATACTGAAAGGTGAAATAATTGATTTATCAGTCCTGGATTTGCCACAAATAAGCTGTTTAACCTTCAACATGTAAGTAATCATCTTAGCTCCTCAGTATACAACCATCTGGATATCTTAGTTTTCTCCTTTTTAGGAGGGGGCCACAACAGGCCACAGCCAAGAAGAGACAACTCATACAATAGCTAATGACAGATGGAAAATTTTCTACCCTTACTAGTGATCAAGAAATTCAAATTAAAACACGAGAAATTCAAATTAAAACAAGACACCATTTTTCAACAATCAAATGATCAAAGATCAAGGTAATTACTATGTTAAACACTCATACATTACTGACAGTTGTATAAACCAATAGAACCTCTTCAAGAAGTTACTGGGTTAAGTTACAAAATAGTCTCCAGATGAAGTATTACGAAGCCACTTAAAACTATTTTTACAAATGAAAAACACTTATCAAACGGTTAAGTTGAAAAAAAAAAAAACCCCAAAATATTAAATGGTGTATTTAGTGTGGTCACAGAGAAGCATTAAAACCATAACAGATTAAAACCATAACAGATTAATAACATCGTATGCCAACTATACTTTAATAACTTTTTAAAAGACCTACACTTATCTATACATGCCTATTGATTCATGTCCAAAGATATAAATGAGTATATATAGTTCAAGCCTATATGCATAAATAAAAATGTTATATAGATTAAAAAAATTAAGAAGACAGCCTTTGGGTGATAGAACTATAACAGTGACTTTCAACCAGTGTGCTGCAAGAATTTTTAAAACACGTAATACCTGACAAGTTAGTCAGAGGCACTGACCTTTCTCCTTAAATTGCCAAATTAAAAAAAAAAAAAAGACAACAGCCAACACAATAGCCATCCAGTGTGAATGAATCAAAATTATATCTATTTTCTGTAAGATCAGCAAAAAATATTTTTGTTATGCCACAGCATTTCAGTAATTTATGTGTACCATGAGATGAAAAAGGTTGAAAATCGCTGGACTGTATAGGAAGGCTGGATAGAATAATGGAAAGAGAACAGTTTAGATGCCCATCCCACTTTCCTGAAAGTAGGACATTATTATTATTCTACAATTTCCAAATTTGAAACGATGATAATAATTGAATAGGATATTACCTAGATTATATCTAAGGCTCCTAGATTATATCTAAGGCTCAGTTCTAAAATGCTAAAACTTAAAATTGTATTTAATCCATATCAGAATTTAAGAATAACATAACAGTTTATCTTCTGTCCACTTTCTATGGCAGAAGGTATATAGTTTCCCTCCAATTTTCCAGTTAAGGGGAAAAGCAGCACCCACTAGCAGCCTTAATTATTTAGATATTGCTTATGAAGTTGTGGAATTTAAAAAGCAAGCACCATACAAGAATGACTTTAGTCGTCAAATCTAAAATGTAGATTCACCTAGCTATCCCTAGGTACTATGGAAGAAAAGGAAACTCAAGTCCTTGAGAAATGGTATCTCCAATAGGAATCCCTGACTCATCCCTAAAGCATGAACCCTAGGGCAGTTTCCCTTGTGCAGGAGTTCAGAGACTGGGCACCTGTCCTGATGGCCTGCATCACCAAACAATGCTCTTTCCTGACAGGATATGCCCACAGATAACAAAATGACTAGCATGCAAAGAAGTGGCCAGAGACCACACCACCTATCCTTCCATAACCAAAATAAGACTGCAAAAGACTAATTTTATGTATTTTAAATATCCTAAATAAACATTTTCTTCTATTTTTGCTAGAGTAGTAAAACAGGGACTCCATCCAATTATTGATACTCTTCAAAGATACCAACACAACAGAAATTGGCAGTATTAAGGAAAAACTTCCTCTTTTCCTTACCCTTCTCAGATCAAAAAGTAATTTTTCAAAAATTCATAGGCTAAATGTCAAGAGAAAATGCTATAAGGGATAGATAATTTAAATCTATGTTTTTCTATCTTCAAAAGATAGTAACAAAACCTTACTCCAAACTCTATTAATAGTCTAGAAAGGCGGGAATCACAAAGCTCAACAACGCTGTGGATCTATGTCATAAGCTGTTCATTTTAACGCTAAAGCTTTACTACACTGAAGTCTCTTTAAAATGTGAAAAAGTATTTCAGTACTAAAAGTCACTTCACCTGCACCTTGTAAACCAACTGTACCTTAAGGCAAAACTAAACAATGTTTGCTGCTCACTAATTTTATATACATAAACCGTGTATACTTTTCACAATCCAGAAATTCGGGGTCAAATGACTATCCTTGGGGGTGTACCTTGTCCAGGAGCAAAACTTCTCCTAGTTTATTTCCCATTCCCAAATCCCGCCAAGGCTAAGCAGCAACCACTTCCCCAAATCCCACTTCCTTTTCCATTCCCCAGACCTGCAGGGTTTCCAACGCCCCAGTCTTGCGCAATATCCGTAAGAGCAGCAGCCGCAGCCACCGCCTCCTAAGCCGGGAAACAACGCTAAAGGAATTGTCCAGCAGAAAAATAAGGTGGGGGGGGGGCGGCAACGAAGGAAGTCGACTTCTGGTCCCACGCCTTCGGATCTGACCCCCTCAATGATATTGCTGGAGAATTTCTCGAACTAGACTTTTAACCTCCTTTCCAACCCGCCTGCACAGGCACAGGGCGGAAAGGCGGGGGGAGGGGAGGCTGAAAAGGTTATCTACCAGTTCAGGGCTTCGGCCCGCACCGTCGCCTCCGCCCCACCAGGACCATTGTTCCCAAGTTCCCCACCCCCACCCCGGATAGGAAGTGATAGTCACATCCCCTCCGCCTTCGGCAATATCCCCTAGGGAGTCTGAAGAAGGCTTCCTTCAGGATAACCCTTCCCCCTCCGCACATACACACACCCTCAACCTAAAGCCACTTTGACCCCCAACACCTTCTCAAACCCCGCGTCTCAGGAGATAAGACACCGGACGGAGGTAAATGGGAATTAGCCAAACCACGAGAAACCTTATAGACAATCTTTTTTCCAGGCATCTGAGGTAACAACTGTGAACCCAGAACAGCATAAGTCCTAGCCTGCACACTTTCCAGAACCGCTTGAGCAAATGGACCCCACAAATTAATGCCAACCTCAACGCCCCTGTTCCTCCGTCAGCCGCGATCCGCGCTCCTCCCAGGGCAGACACCCTGCCTCGACCCTCCCAGGAGGAGCGGGTTGGGTGGAGAGGTGAGCAGAGACCTTACTTGCCTCCGGATGCCGGCACGAGAAACAATGGGTGGTCGCCGGCGGCTGTGCTGAGTGCAAGCTCGGCCCGGTGGCCGCTCCCTTTGCGCCCAGAGCGCCCGCGGAGGTGGCCGCGAATGCGGAGGGAAGGGAAAGGAGGCCGAGAGGAGAGGGCGGTCTCACCTCCCGCCGCCCTCCGAGACCACCCGGCCACTGGGGACGGTGCGCGCCCCTCCGCCCCTCTCCTCACTGCCTCACACAAAGCGCTGGAGGCCCAATAAGCCGGCAGTAGGCTCCGGTGCCGGCGAGAGACGGCGACAACCGGGTAAGGACTCACCATGAAGTCCCGAGCGAAGTTGTCCTCCCCATTGTGGTCCGGACTCTTCATGGCCTCGACCCTCTGGATGAATTTCCTCAGGATCTCCACTTGCTCCATCCTCCCGCGTCCCCCCGGCTGCGGTCGCTGGCCCCCCCGCCGCCGCCCGCCCGCCCGGCGCAGAGCCCGCTCCGTCTTCCCCAGCTCTCTCCCCCTGCCTGTCCCCTCCCTCCCGACCCCCGCTAACCCCCGCCACTCGCTCCTCCTCTCCACCGCCCAAGGCGGTGGCACCGGCCCGGCTCCCGACCCTACAACTTCCAGGAGCAGCCGCCGCTCTCCCACAGTACGCGGCGAACCGCCGCAGCTAGCACCAACCCCAACCCCCAGCTTGCTCCATCCTCCTTCCCCGCCCTCCTCCTCCTCCTCCCGCGGAGACGGAGACGCCGCCACCGCCTCAGGAGTACGGCTCTCCGCTCGCCCTACCCCCCCCCTTCCCGGTTCCTCCTTTCCTCCCGCTCCCTACTAGCAGCCGCAGCCGCCTATCTTCACCAGCGCGCCCCAAGCCGCCACCCAGACGCGCGGCCCCGCGCTGAGGCTCCGCCCCAGGCGCGACGCCACGCCGATCCGCCCCCGCCCGCTCCGTCTCTGGGCCGCACCGCCAAGCCCGCTCCGCCCGCCCCAGCCCTGCTAGGAATGGCTGGAAAGGGCATCGGCTGCCGGCTGGACGACCTGCCTCCACTTCCGGGGCGGGTTCTAGCCGGGAAGCTCACACGTCTGAGGAGAGCTGGGCGGAGGGAATTCGACTCTTGAACAGGTCAAACGCTAGTCACTCAGAATAATAGTTTAATTGGGATTTGCGGTCTCACCGCGGACTAGGTCGAAAAAGCGTATTTCTGGAGCGTTTCTACGCCGCCGCCAGCCGTAGGCTGGGACTGAAGTCCCGGTGGGCCAGAGTCCAAAAGCGGGGGCGGAAGAGGGCGGCGGTGGGAAAAGAGGCATTCTGGGAGCTGTAGTAGTGTTGGCTCACGTTCACAGATGGTGTGTCTTCATGTCACTATTGACTTGGTGACATGACAGCAGTTAGACTTTTGGAATGGCTACAGCTAAGAGAAACGAACCGCCTCTTGAGTGAAAGAACTTTTGCTTTTTGCCAATTTGTATATACCCTGGCGAGTGAGCGGCTGAGATTCGAAGTGCTCCCTAATACTACAGATAATTGGCATGCTTATGGTGAGGGCTCAGTGTTTGCTGAATTGAAGGGGGTTAGTCTTCTTGCCTATTCGATTAAAAGTACTTTGAAACCGAATAGACATTTCTCCATAGAATGGACTTTATAAATCTCTATGCATCTTTGTAAGTATAGTAATCAGAGAACATCCTAGGCTAATAAACTATTTTATAAAGAAAGAGGTTTGTCCAAGGTCCCCCAGCATATTCTTAGCAGAACCAAAGACAGAACTAAAATCCTTTTGCTTTCATTACAGAACCATATTGCCTTTCACAAAGGAACATGCGCGATGTAGTAAAGAATTTGATTCGTAGACTTACACTCACAAACATTTTTTACACATCAGATTGGTCAGAGGGAATTTGATTTAATTTGGGAATATCGGTGGTAGGCCCCTTTTCCCAGATGAATGTTGAGAAGTAGACTGGGACTAGACTCTAGTGAGCATTGACTACCTGACTAAGGATTCCAACGTAATATTGTTGGCAGTGGGAGCCACCAGAGGTTTCTGAGTATAGAAGTAAAATTAGAAAAATATTAATCTGTCACTTTTGGATAGATTGTGAGTTAAGGGGAGAGAATATAATGAGAGATATTGGAAGCCAATACATGAGGCAATAAAATCTGAAACAAGGTCATAGCTCTGCAATTACAAGGACACAGATGGAGATGAGAGAGACTGAAAGAGCTCACAGAACTAGGTAAATAACTGACTTAGCAAGTAGGAAGGTAGAATTTAAAATGACTGAAAAAATAAATAAATAAAAATGACTGAAATTACTACATTGGCAGAAATTAGAAGGTTTAACAGAATACAAGACTCTGCCCTGACTCTGCAGAGTAAAGTGTGACCCGTTGATCCCCCTTCAAGGTGTATGCCTGGGTTGTCCCTTTGGTCCTTGTTCTAGGTGTGTTGGAGAGGCAGCCAACTGATGTTTCTCTCACATGTTTTTCTCCCTCTAGTACCCTCTCTAAAAAGTAATAAATAAAACCTTTGAAAAAAAAACTGCATGGTAGGGGCAAATGGGGACATTCATCCACAGATGGTATGAGAAATTGGCACAACATCTTTGGAGGCAATTTGGCCATAAATGTATTAAAATGGAAAAGTAATACATGCTTTGACTGAAAATTTTATAGGTAATATCTATAGCTGTTTACAAACATGTTTATCACAGCCATATTTGTAATGGCAAGAGTGTAAACAACACTTGCCTATCTAAAAGGCACTGGTTAAAAAAAACAAAATCGCATGCATATAACTAAGTTCTATGAAGCTGCTTTTTAAAAAAAAATACATATATGTTGCTGTAAAGTAGGTCACAAGCTCTATATCACATGAGGAAAGCTAGGGACACATGTTTACAGAATGCTTCCACTTATGTAAAATGAAATACAGATAAAATGCTTGAACATACATAGAATTTTTTCTGCATGATACTTCAAAAACTGTTAGCTGTAGACACCTCTAGGAGGGACTTGAGAAATCTTCGGTAGAAAGGAGACAACTTTTACAATTTGTGTATTGCTTTTCTAACAAAATTAAATCAATTTAATTTGAAATTTTTGTAGACTTTCAATCTGGGTGATAACAGGTATGGCAATATCTTTCATAGAAACATGTGAATAAAGGAAAAAGGAACATGTCTTGTTTGGGAGATTTTTTTTAAATGGCACAGGCTAAGTCAGAATTCCTACTTATCTACACCACAGTTCTCAAGGAACTTGACCGTCCTGCCCAGTCTCAGCCACAGCCAAGGGTCTGGGCACTTGACCCAAGTTAACCAATCCATGTAGACTGGCCAGCAACCTATGGCCTGGCGTAGGAACAAGATCTGGTCCAATCAATTCTCACTGTTAGGGATCTGAACTAGGACAACTGGAGAGAGTAAGTAATTAAGCTGCAAGCACAAATGCTAAATGCCATGGGGTAGAGTTAGGGATTTGGCAGGTTGAAGCCTTGTGGGAGAGTAGAGAGTATAAAGAATCTGGTTAGTCAAGAAGGGAGTGTTAAGCAGGCATGCAGAGATATGTATAGGTGTCATGATATAACTCATATGGCCATGGGAGAGACAGGGAGAATCCCTGGAACTTCTTGACTTCCTCATAACTTTAAGGATAGGCTTGGTCGATGTTTATTCCATAAATAAGTTCTGCTTTTACTGAAACAGAAAAGGGAAATAATAAAGAGCATGGGCTCTGAAGTGAAGGAGATACAGGTTCAAAAACCCATTCCATTTCTTACTCAGGGAAAGCCATTTAACCTCTCTAAGCCTCGGTTTCATCTTCTAGGAAAGCCGCCTTGTGCTGTCTTAACAGGATGTATTTCACAAATAGTGTATTGCACGTGACACTTGCTCATAGAAAACACAAAATAAGGATTGGTTAAACAGGCAAAGAATGAGTGCTTTCCAGACCTTTTAATTTTTTTACCTTTCCTCTCTTTAGGCTCATTCCCAACTCACTAGCCACCTTCACTCTGGGTAACTTTAGGAGGGATGAGAAGAAAGCCAACTACCATTTTTAAAAATCTCTCTTATTAGTACTTACGTGAAGGTTTGAGTAGGAGTTTACAACTAATAATTAAAAAGAAGTTTCAGAATTATCTACCTGTTTCATATCCTTTTCCCTTCTGGCTCAGATAAAAGTAATGCTTTATATCTGTATAGAAAACTTATCTTTAACGATATTTTCACATCTATTCTCTCATGAAAGCTACCTTTCTTACAGTTTTCATGGCATTACAACTCTTTGTGAGTTCCATTTTTTAAAACAACCTTGGGAAGTAATTTGGCATCATTGTCCTCATTAATAGATGAAAAGCTAAATAAAACACAGGAATAAACATGACTAGCTCACTTGTAAAAAACAAATGTCTCAAGGCCAGAACCCACAGATCCAGAGTTTCCAGCTTGTTGCATAAACCACTGAGTCACAATGCTTTCGTACCTGGTGTAATTTAACTGAAACCACAGATGAGGATTCAAACCTGAGATTCTCTCAAAGTAGCACTTCTAATATTAACTCGTCATTTCACTTTATGTACTCGGTGCTCTCTATCCTCCCAAATTAAAATACTCATAGCTGAGAAGTTATGGAAGAGTGAATAAGAAAGAAGTGAGAGAAATTCTTCTCTAATTTATTTCTGGTATCCCTTACTCGCTCACTCCTAGACCTAGTCACAGCAAAGAATCTGTTCACCATTTCTTAATTTGTTAGTTTATTATTGAAATGTATTATCCAGTAGATAGGAACTGGGGGAATAAAGGAGCATAACTTTTTATTCTAGGGCAGCATAAGTTTTAAAATTTTTTTAAATTTTCTTTTTTATTTTAGAGAGAGGGGAAGGAAGGGAGAAAAACATCAATGTGTGAGAGAGAAACTTTGGCTGCGCTCTGTGCATGCCCCGCCTAGGGACTAAACCTGCAACCCAGACACGTGCCCTGACCAGGAATCGAACTGGTATCCTTTTGGTTTGCGGGATGATGTCCAACCAACTGAACTACAGTGGCAGGGGCTTTTTAAAAAAATTTTTAACTTTACACATAGCATTTTTAGAAGAAAGCATATAAAAATGAAGAGAAGTCAGGAAAAGATTAAATTTCTTTAATATATCTTAAAGTTAAATAGAAGTTTCTCTCTCAAGTAAAAGAGGTGCAGAAGCAGGCTGTACAATGGCAGATATGGAGGCTCCTTCGATTCTTCTGCTCCAGGATCCTTGCATTTAAATTTCAACCTCAATGGCACCTCATGGTCCAAGATGTATGCTGCTAGAGCTCCAGCCATCACATTTGTATTCTTGGGATTATATTTCTAAAACTAATATTTCAGAGCTTTGTCACATAATACTCCTTGTTTATTCTCATAACTCTACCCTAAAGTAGGTAGGCCAGGTATTATTATCTCCATCTTTATGCATAAGAATTTTAGTGGGGATAATAATGCCTAAGCTTAGAG